GGTCTCGGCATGCCCACATGGAGCTTGCTACAAGGAAGTGTAGAGTGATGGACATTTGAGCAAAAAAAAAAAAAAATGCAACTTCAGATGTTCTCAAAGGAGTTTGAGCTAGTGCCGACTGATCTGAAAAAGAACAGGAATGGAGAGTGCAATAAAACATCAACTCAATATAATGATAATAGGTAAACCCTAAGGCCAGTGTGTCTAACCTGTGGGCTGTGGGCTGCATATGGCCCTGAACAGCTATATTGCAGCCCCACACAAGGTATAATGAAAAATATTTCAAAAAACAAAGGAAAATTGTTATTTGCATACATTAAACTACATTATATATTTTATATGTGGCCCAAGACAATTCCTTTTCACTCAGTGCAGCCCAGGCAAGCCAAACGTTGGACACCCATGCTCTAAAGCAAGGGTCCCCAACCACTAGTCCGTGGACCAGTACCTGGCTGCAGCTTGTCAGCAATCGGTCTGCACAAACAAGCAAAGCTCCATCCGCAGGATGCAGGCAGCCCACAAAAACACGCACCCTCCAGTCCACGGAAAAACCTCTCTCCGTGGAACCAGTCCCTGGTGCCCAAAAGGTTGGGGACCTCTGCTCTAAAGCAGGAGCGGGCAACTATGGCTCCTTTGTGACCTGTGGACTTCAATTCCCAGAACTCCCTGTTCTAAAGGAACTCAAGCTTGCGGGGGGGGGGGGGGATCCAAACTACAATCCAGATGACCACAGGAGGGCAGAAAACAGAATACTCTGATTCTCTTTGCTGTCCTCTAGTGGATTTTCTAACATACACGGCCCTGCTACTTAGAAGCCCTAAACTCCTAAATTCAGCCTTCTTGAAAATCTTTAACCCAGCTTAACCCGACAATCTTTTCTTGCTTTTCTGATTCTAGCCAGTGACTTTTGCAACTTGAATTGCTGTCTAAACAAATTTCCACTTAAGGGACCAGCCAGTTTGAGATGGAAGAGATCTGTGAGAAAAGCCAACTATAGTTTTGGAAAGTAAAAAGAAAACTTTTTCATTCATATTTTTTTAAAAAAATTCTGCCTCTCCAGACCACAGACGAGGGGCACCAATTGACTTCCCACCAATCTATCCTTCCTGGCATTTTGTGGAATTATAAAGAGGAAGAGAGACAGGCCAATACTGTTTTGCCCGATTTCAAATCCACTTAAACTTCATCGGTTGGAGAATTGAAAACACAACTCCAACATTTTGAGGTTTTTGCTCTGTGGGGAACTGGGCCGTTGCCAAAACGTATCTAACACGGAATCGCTTAGCCAAGTCCATACTGGTTTCTCATTACAGGTCATTTACATTTCTCGATGTTTCCTGTGACCCTTTTTCCTGATGCTTCACTAACAGCAAAGTTGGAACTAAATGTGCCCTTGATTTTCTGTGAAGATTCAGTTATGCATTTTTTTCTCCCCAATTATCTAAAAGAAAACTGTTTTTGAACAGTCTCATGACTGGGCTAGAAAGTCATAAGGAGAGAGACCAGACAGGAAAAGCTGGCACCAGAAGGTCAAGGCCGAGGAGAAGCGCTGCCTGTATTCTCATGAGCCAATCCATTCTCCCAACGCTGGGCAGAAATTCAGAGATATATTTTGCCACACAAATGAGCCAGGGGTTGGACTAGAAGACCTCCAAGATCCCTTCCAACTCTGTTCTTCTATGAAAGTACTTATTACAGAGGAATAAGTGAGCACAATCAACCAGTGGAACAGCTTGCCACCAGAAATCGTGGGCGTTCCATCACTGGAGATTTTTAAAAAGAGACTAGACATTCACCTGTCTGAAACGGTGTAGGTTCTCCTGCCTGAGCAAGGGGCTGGACTAGAAGACCTCCAAGGTCCCTTCCAGCCCTATTCTATTATTATTATTATTATTATTATTATTATTATTATACTCCACAACCAATTTTATCTGGGGCCGTATGTGGTTTGTACCAGCCACCCTTCCTGGTTTCCAAGCTTGTTTCTTGGTTCACACAGTTGGCTTTGATCTTTAAAGGTCTAAGGACTGTTAGGTTCAGGCTGATTTCCACTGTTTCCAACCTGGTTCTTGCTGGCTGTTCTCCAGGTGGATGATTGATGGGCAAGTGGGCATCCCTTCAAGGCTTGGAGGGAGTTGATTACTTTAGGAAAATGAAAATGTTCAAAAGAAAGCTGATCCTCTGCTACATTTCACCTGGCTTGGCGAGAGAAGAACAGTGAAACTCGGCTTCAGCTGCATAATAGTAATAATAATGCTATAACCATCAATGTGTGTCAGCCCAAGATGAAAGACTTAGAGCTAAGGCTAGGGTTAGAGGGTTAGTGATGTCTTAGATCAGGGGTCTCCAACCTTGGCAACTTTAAGACTTGTGGACTTCAACTCCCAGAATTCCTCAGCCAGCCAGCCAGCCTGAGGAAGAGAAGTCCACAAGTCTGCAGAAGCTGCAGAAAGATAAGAAAAAGGAACAGTGGGGAGCCGCAAGTATCCTCGTGGTATATACACACCTCACCTTAGCCAGCGCAAGAGTCCTAAGCCATGAGGGCGACATGCCAAATACAACATCCTTCCAGATTAACTGAAAGAGGTTTTTGTTGCACTGAAGATTTGTTATCTATTAGTGCTATCTATTATTATTTTGCAGGGAGTCTGAAGGCTCCAACGCTAACAGGAAAGTCTTGGCCCTCTTCAAATATTGCACGCAGCTCACTTGGAAGAAAAATACGACTGTCAAAGAAATATAAACCACAAACTGCATAGGCTGATGATGCTAATTTGTCCAGTGTATATTAAACCGAAGTCAGAGCAGATGCCTCCATTTTGTCTGAAGAAACAAGCTTCTGGGGCTGAGAAGGAGGAGCAGAGGAGGCGTTTTGCAGTGGAAAAGTCTACTTTTCCCCCTCCAGACTGATCCCTCCAGTGCGATGCTCTCTCACCTCTGCAGGGTTTTCATCTGGAGGAAAACAGCTGGAGCGAAAAATGGTTTGGAGCAGAGAAATCATGATGACTGGACAAAGCTCAGTTACCATGTGCCTGATATCAGAGTTGACCATCTCCAATACTCTCCAACTATTAAGGGATTCCAGTTCCCATGAGCCACAGCTGGCTTATTACAGTATTCAACAGTAAGGAAAAAAGAGAGCAGGGACATTAAAAAAAAGCTTATTGGTTCCCCATCTGCAATGCAAAAGCAAGGAAGACGCTCTCTTCTCCATGAGCCCCAGGAACCAGGGGTATCTAGCAGAAGGGTGCAGAAAGAGTCAAAAAAGTCAAGATGGCCACTGCACCCCTGTGGTTGAGGCCCTGTTTGTTTTTACATGCCATATCTTGACTTTTTTTTTTTTTTTGGAGATCTCTCTGTGGGATGCTGTCCTTCCCAACCCTTCCCGATCAATCTGGATGAGATCATGGCTTCCTTTTTTGCTGCTCTGTGTTTCAGAGGAAACCCAAACACTGAGTAGGCAGATTTTAGCAAAGTGGGCTTTCATTTTATCCTGGTGCCAGGCAACTCCAAAAAAGGCCACTATAAATTTTTACCCCCTGAGGAGAAATAAACCAGCATGGTTTGTTCTTAAGCAATCTAAGAAAAAAAATCAATATGAAAAGCATTTTCTTACAATTCCATGCTGAGCTAAGTTAAAAATCTGGGGATCATTAAAGCATTCAAAAACGATGTGCATGTGTCTTTTGCACAGGAAACAAAAGAACACGCCGATTAAAAAGAACTTGTTGAAATATTTACATCAGCACAGCTGATCATATACAAACCATGTTAACATATGCAGAGTTCATTTCAGGACATACATTTTCCTCTGGGTTATTCTTTTTTTTAAGTGTGCAAGTCCTGTGCAAATCCTGTTGGGAGGGTGGGGGAGAAGAGAAATGAGGACTCAGATGCTATTGCATTTTGGCACTCTGCCTCTTGACTGTTTTATTGTCTATTTTGGCTGGACTCAAAGTTCTAGCTAGAGCAGCCTGCCAAAAAGAATAGGGGGAAAATGTTAGGTCTTTTAAGGATACTGAAAAATAAAGCCAGCTTTTAAATCTGCCACGTTCTGTAAGGATAAAACTGAATCTCTACAGAGCTGAGACGTTCTTTCCTGTTCTGTATTTCGGGTTCCAAGTAGAAATGGAACCAATTTTCTTTGTGTTGGATGATGAAGTTTCAAGACCCTCGAAGTTCTCTAAAGGGGACCGGCTCAGAGTTTCTGCTTGCTCAACGTCTCAGCCATTATTCATAGATTAGAACATTTATAGATGTAATCCATTCTAAGGAAATAGAGAAATGATAAGGAAAGTCAAGGAAGGACTTTGAGAAGCAATTACTTTCAGAAGTGGAAGCGAACGGGAAGCCCAGAACAGCCTCACCTTGGGTTTAATAGTGCAAGAAGGAAAGAGAGAGCTGGAAGGGAGCCCCACCGGTTTCCATCAAGACTGACCTCCTCAAATCCTTGGTTGAATCAGAATCAGACTAGAATAGAGCTGGAAGGGACCTTGGAGGTCTTCTAGTCCAACCCCCTCTTCAAACAGGAGACCCGATAACATTTCAGAAAAAAAGGTGACCTTGGGCCAGTCACTTTCTTCAGTCCGAAAAACCTTGCCAAGGAAGTTGCAGACACATCCAGGGAGTCTGTGAGAATCAGGCACAATTAGTGGATGGGAAAAAAAGAGATGAGAGACAGAGACAGTGGTGGGATTCAAATATGTGAATAGCCGGTTCTCTGTGTGGATGCCACTTCTGGAAGTCCATGCTGGGCCTGGGCAACAAAAAAATAGCTACCAGTTCTGCCGAAGTGGTGCAAACCGGCTGAATCCCACCACTGGATAGAGAGATAGAGACAGAGAGACAGACAGAGAGACAGAGAGACAGATGATTGATAATGTTTATTAGATAGCTGATTGATAGATAGCCAGATGATGTTTGCTTTCTTTCAAATATATAAAGAACTGCCAAATTAGTTGTCTCCCAAAGGCAATAAATCTGCATTTTAATTTGACAAAATGTACAAAGCAAAAGGTAAGATAAAATAAAACATTCTAGATTCTCAAAAAATTAGACTTAACCACACCCAAACCCTTTGGAAACTTTCTTGAATTAAACGTCCACCAAAAATCTTCCCCCATTTGCTGTTCTGAATGTTTTAATTTTGGCTCCTTGGCTTGATTGTATCCTTAGAGTCCGTGAATGTTTCTCACCCTTGGCGACTTGCAAAAATGTGGACTGGCTGGCTGGGGGATTCTGGGAATTAAAGTCTACACATCTCCCAGTTGCCAGGGTTGAGAAACATATTCTGTGAGGAAAGGCACAAATGGAGTCTAGAACTTTGAGACAATGTCCTCCAAGGGGAGACTGTCCTGTTCCCCCTTTAGCAATTAACTTCCCAGGGGTCACTGCATCACCTGGAAAAGTCAGGTTGTCAACATCTGGGAAGAACCTCAGCAGACTTGCCCAAATTGTTGCTTTCCAGGAGTGGGAATCTCTGGTTTTCCAGACCTGCACCTCCAACCTTCTCCTAGCTGGCTGGGAGAACACGGCCTTGGTCTAGCGTGCCCACCTCTTCCTTCTCCACATTCACAAGGGTGGGAAGGAATGTAGATCTGGTCTTGGAAATTAGAAAGGAAGAGTCAACTGTTAAGGGGCAAAGCTGTGAAAGTTTGGCCTAATAAATTTGGAATGCAAGTATCTGATGAACCGCGGCCAGGTGTCAAAGCGTCCTGGGATTGAAAGATTTCAGAGGGCTTTGGCATAGCTTCACATCTACCTGGTTGCCCAGACACAACCCCTCAGTTGCCACATTCGGTTTTGGAAACTGACTTTCCTAGAACTGGATTCAAAGGTTACGGGGGGGGGGGGGGTTCTTTGCCATAAGTAGCGAAATATTAAAATATTTCATAATCACAACTTGGCATTTTCACAGGGTCTGTTGCCAATGTCTTCCCTGTCTTCTCTCCCTTGGCAAGGTATCAGAGTCTAGAAACTTCCATTTTACTTTCCTATAAATGGGGACTTCACTGATGTGATGGCGCAATTTAGGCCATTAAGCTTCAACCGCGACTCTGTGCCCACTGCTGTGCAGTTTCTCTCCTCTGTGGATCCCTGCCCGTGAGCACGACATTTTTGTTTAGCACCTTTAAGTAAACTTCAGTTTTAGTTTTTAATCTATTTTTAAGTCTTTATAGACTGCAACATGGCATTGTTTCGTTGGTACCCAGGAATGGCTAGATCTCCTGCTGCATTGACCAAAATTTGCCCTCAGCATACCCTCCCTCAAAAAAGTGTCAGTATATTTGCCAAGAAATACAGTCTGGATATCCCCCAATATCTGGCTTTTTAGCAGATGCCTAAGATCACAGTCTTCTCTCTAGCCAGATATCTTGAGAAGAAAGAGATAAGTTTCTAGCCCCAGTGAGGACTACCCACTTGGTCTTGTTGACCCAGTTGGGGTGCCTCTCTCGTCTTCAACACCTAAGCAACGGTGTCCGTCTGTAAACTGGGATGGGCTTTCGGTGCTCTGTCGCTGCTGCCATCTTGACTCCTGCAGCCCGTCCTGACCTACACATCATTTCCTCGCCTTGCTTTTATAAGAACCTGCTTGAAACCTCAGCGCAGAGGTGGAGCTGGCCTGCTTTCCACCAAGGAGCCATAAAACCCCTGTGAGGAATGGCAGCCCCCCCCGACTCTTCTGGAGAAAATGGAAGGTGTTTTCTTTTTAATTCATGCAATTGTCCTCTCCCTGTTCTCACCAGAGTGCCATGGTTTTTAAAATATTAATCGTTCAGCAATAGCCATTTTTCAGCCTATCATATGCTTCTGCCTGGTGCCATGTTTAAGTGAGTGTAAAAGCCACTTATCTCCAATAACATTAATTTTTTTTAATGGATTCATTCAAGCCCATGTATTTTAGCAAAAAGAGACACCTTTATTTCATTTTGCACCCGGCATGTCAACTGTCGCTGGGCCTGACCGGCGATTCATCAAGGAGCTAAAAGGCTGGGGGTTCCAAGGGAGACACATTAGCTTGCATTCAATATTAATAGCTTATGCCAATATTTATTTGGGCTGTTATTTAAGCGGTGATGTCATAGCAGTGAAGCTGGGCGGCAGCACGGGAAGCAACGGCATGGAGACTGCAGGCCAGGTAACGGGAAGCGGCATGGGAAACATCCTCACGGCAAACTCAGGGAGGGATGCCTGCCTCCACGGTCGCCCAATGGAAGCGCGGAGCTGAAACGACGCTCTGGGGGGAGGGGCTGGATTCGTGGGCATTTCTCGGCTCTGCGTTGCACCGGTCAGGCCACACACCTGGCCGGTTCTTACTGCCTTAGCACACGAAGGGTGCTGAGGAGCTGGAAAAGATGCAGAAAAGAGCCACGAAGAGGGTAGGAGTCTTGGGGTCCAAATCCTGCAGGGAAAAGAAGAGGGCGTGGTTTAGCCTCCAGAAGGGAGATGTGACAGCCGTCTCCCAATCCTCGATGGGATGTCCCAGGAGAGATGCTGTGGACATAGGCTCCGTGGTGCAGTGTTTCTCAGCCTTGGCAACCTGGAGATGGGTGGACTTCAATTCCACAGAATTCCCAGCCAGAGAAGTTAATGGAGAAGATCCAAATAAGGAGGAATTTCCCGACTGCAAGAACCAGGAAGCAGAGGGACAGAGGGGCCGTGTGGTCACCTTTTGGGGCTTCTGGAGGCTCCGTTGCTGGAGGTTTTCAAGGAAAGGTTAGACAGCCCTCGGTCCGGAATGGCGTCAGGATCCCTGGCCTGAGCAAGGTCTGGCCTAGAAGGTCCTTCCTATGACACTAAACCACAAATTAAAGGGCCAGGTCTTCTCTGAGTCAAATTTGACTCCTGGCGACTTCAGGCTTGCTCAGGAACAAAACGCAGTTTGCGGTTTGCTTCTGGGATGTGTGTGTGTCTGTCCCAGACCAGTGGCTATGCCTGGTGGTCTCTCATCCGAGAGTTAGCCTGGCGCTTCTCAGCTCAGACATTGTCATTTACCTGTTGCTACCTATGGAGACTTTGAATTCACAACTGAGGCTCAAATCAGTGTCCAAAGCCAATGGACAAAGCAATGTCCAGGGAGTCCTCGACTTAGGAGTGATTTATAGCGACCATTCAAAGTTATAACAGCACTGAAAATGATTGATGCTTTTTCACACTCACGATCACTGAACCATCCCCACGGTCAGGGGGTCAAGATTCAAATACTTGGCAACTGGCATGTATTTATGACGGCTGCAGCGTCCCAGGGTCACGTGATCGCCTTTTGCGGACTTCTGACAAGCAAAGTCAATGAGGAAGCCGGATTCACTTAATAACTGGATAACTAACCTAACAATGGCAGTGATTCCCTTAACAACTGTGGCAAGAAAGGTCATAAAATGAAGCCAAACTCATTTCTGTCTTGTTTAGCAACAGAAAGTTTGGGCTCAATTGTCATCGTAAAGCAAGACTACCCACACATAAAAGTTGCTTCTGTGGGTATGTAGCCAAATCTTTTTAACGTCTTTCTATTTGTGTCCTCCTTGAAGGAGATTTGACTTTGCAGACTCAGCAGACGTCCCATCTGAATTGCGTTAAGGACTTAGAATACCGAGCTAGAAATCACACAGTTCTTAGTTCCGGCTCTGCCATCCCAAACCAAATTTCTCCCTCCATTAATTGTTCGCCCCACGTTGACTGCAAAAATAGTGACTTTCCTCGTCGTCTGATATTGACCAATTTGTGTAGCGTGGAACGTTTTGTGGACCTGTTGAAAAATTCTGCTGCCTTTCCTCTGTGTTGGATTGCAAAGCCCATAATCCCCTGTGCAAATTATGGGTTTTTAAATGCAGTGTTTTTACTTGGAGGGCGCTGGGCCTGGAGAAGGCAGCCCTCCAGTGCAGCGATTTAATAAAGACCACGTCAGAGCATCCCTTGCATTTGAAAGAACGAACCTGTCTGGGTTTTGCAGGAAGCAGGCTGGGAATTATTTTGAAAGGATCTCTGGGCCTTTGGGATGGATCACGCCTTTTCCTGCAGGGCGCAACATACCGTGAACTTGCTTATCCAAAGGAAAAGCAGACGGATCCGCCAGGGGATCAACAAAGGCGAGATGAGCACGAGAAAGAGAGGGAGTATCTGCCAAGCTCTGTGGCTGCCATTTTGATTTTTTTATTAAAACTTCCTTCAAGTGTGGTGCTGATCAAAAGTGAACTCCTGTCCTGTTTAAAAAGATATTAACAGAATGACAGAGTTGGAAGGGACCTTGGAGGTCTTCTAGTCCAACCCCCTGCTCAAGAAGGAGACCTTATACCATTTCAGACAAATGGTTGCCCAGTCTCTTCTTAAAAACTTCCAGCGTCGTTGGAGCATTCACCACTTCTTGAGGCAACTTCTGTTCCACTGATTAATTGTCCTGTCAGGAAATTTCTCCTTATATTCCAGGTTGCTTCTCTCCTTGATGAGTTTCCACCCGTTGCTTCTGGTCCTGCCTTCGGGGGCTTTGGAGAATGGCTTGACTCCCTCGTCTTTGGGGCAGCCCCTGAGATATTGGGGGACGGCTGTCCGGTCGCCCCTGGACGTTCTCTTCATTGAACCTATTTAGAATAAACGTCTTTTTCCAGCTCCACGGCCACGGACCCTCTATCCTGTCCCTCCGCCTCAGGAAACGCGGTGGCAGGGAAGCGGCCCGCGCAACCGGGCCTTTCGCCTCCTCCCTTCCCACCGCTGGCGACTTTCAGCTGCAGACGGAGGCAGCGGAGGCCTTTGGGTTGGTTTTTCCGGGGCGGCTGCTGAAGCGGAGCGGAGGGAAGTCGGGTGTCAGCCTCCGTTTCCCTTCGGCCGTATTTCAAAAGTACGACTCGGATCCGGAGTTGCGTCTGATGGGCCGGCCACGGAAACAAATGCCAGCAGGGCGGGGAGGGGGGCCGACCCACATTGGGGTCCTACGGTGTGCCGGTTGTGTAATTCGGATTTATCTCCTGTTAAAAAAAAAAAGGCCCCGTGGACGGACTCCCTTCCCAGCAGATGGCAGCAAAACGGAGAGAAAGCGGGTGGAAGGGCGGGCGGGCAGGCCGGCAGCCGCCGCCGAGGAAAGGCTGGAGGTCTCCCGCAGCCCCGCTCCACTCCTCGCCCGCTCTCCTGGGCTTCCAGGTGAGTTGAGCCGGGCAAAGGGAGGCTGGATCCGCGGCCCCTTCAGGCCCGGCCTTCCTCCGCCGGACCCCGCTGCAAAGCCGCCTCGGGCTGCCTCTGGCCGGCGCTTGAATGGTCCGGAGTTTTCCCCCCTGCGCTGTTGTGTTTTCTTGACAACTTCCAACGTTTCGGGGGTTGTGTCATGTGCAGGTCTTTCCCCCACAGCCTCTGGAGACTGGCATGCAAGGCTGAACTCCCCTCAAGCTTGTGAAGGCGGACTCCGTCATCCCCATCTGGGTTCAGGCTGCAAAATTATAAGAGAGATCGGTGCAAAACTGCAGATCGGGCCAGTGGACTGCCCCCCCCCGCCACACACACACACACACACACACACACACACACACACACACACACACACACCACAAATACCCTGCAGGTGGTAAGGAATAGAAATACAGTAAAATCTGGGGCAGGATTCCCAATGCATATTTTGTAAGATTTTTTCTTCTTCTTCATGGACAGATCAAGATGGGGACGACATTTCAAGAAGGTTCATGGCCTTTTATTTTTAATTTTAAAACTTTGCTCTCTGTTATGCCTTTAGAAAAAAATAGGTTTGTGAATATGTAATCTGAACCGTCATCCATTCAGTGTATACCTGTGATTGATTGATAGGTAGAAAATTCCATAAAACTAATATTTATTTTCTTTTCCATGTAGAGTTAAAGCAGCAAACTGATATTGTTACAGTAATCTGTAATTTCCTGTCCAGCAATCGCACAGAAGGTAAGAAAAAAAATCATAATCTATTTTAATTTTTTCTCTTGTTTTACTTTTTTGAACCAAGAGTATTCTTTTAAATTTGAAGTTTTGAAACTGGATTTTGAAACAGATTCTCATGTCTGAATTTTCATTGCTTGTATCTAGTTTCTTTTTTTAATTAGAAAGCGGGTGCTTTTATCTTGAGGTATTACTGGCAACAGAAGCCTTGTTTGAGTTCAGGTTTATGCGTTTAAGTTTGTTTTCTACTCGCTTGTGTTTTAGGGAGAATTTGGTATGGTTGATATTGAGAAAATAGAGAAGGATGAATATCCGTAAAGAGGAGCAGTTAGGAGGAAAACTTTCCCAAATCTATTTAGAGCTCTTGTATAACTTCATAAAATGACTTTAAAGATCTAAACCATCTTATTAATTTTGCTCCTTTGTTTCTCCGTATTCTTTGCCAGGCAAATATTTTGACAGTTGTAGTGATAAACTTCCAGTTTTTCCAATTCCACCCAGTTTTAATGAAGGGATCCAGAGAGCTTTGATTGCAATTGACCCTGAGGTTAGTGTAAGCCTCTCACAATTCAGCACAAGCTGTTGACGAGAATTAGCAAAGGCAAATCTTTTCATACTCAGCAGAAAAAAGACAAATTTCGGGATAGTATTTGGGTGAGACCATAAAGAGGAGAAGCCAGGAATGCCCATCAGATAATAGTCAAGAGTTAGCATTCATCCCACGGATCATGTATCTTTTTAAAAAACTTCTTGCAAGAAAATATTTTTTAATATTTCCAAAAATAGTTTTCCGTTTCCTGAAATTATGAGATTTCTAATGGCTGAATTTGTATGAAATGTAATTACAGGGACTAAATGCAGCACAGGTTGCATTTTTTAAATTCCCTCTTGTGAATGGCATTGCCTCACCCAGAATTTGTTCGGGACCAAAGTGGTCATTCCCAGAAACGGCTATTTCATCCCATTTCACTCCACTGGTCTAACCTTTTGTTATGGGGGGAGAGTGGAGGAAAAGAGGAGTAAGCTTACTTTAAAAAAAAAAAAAATAGGATGCATCTTTTTCATGCAAATAATAAATGAACAGAGACCCCGAGCTGAGATGAGTCTGTTTTCCTCCAAGAAAAAATATTATTTCAGGAGGTGGCTGGATTTTTCTTTTAAAAAAGGGAACAACAAAACATAAATGCATCAGTAGTAGAGTTGACAGGCCAGATTCAAGTAAAGCAACAATCTTACAGGTAATCTGAGGGATGGGGAGGCAATTCAAAAACGTCAAAATGGAAGCCACTGCGTGATTGAAGCCCACCCCCTTTTAAGGGGAGGAGCTTCGAACACAGCGGCCGTGCCTTTGAAGACCCTCCCTGGCAGATGCCACTGCTTACTGGTAAATAAACTGAGTTGAAATTGGAAAGTTTCATTTCTAAGAAATTGTGGTTAAATGAGGCCATAGTTCTCAATGGTAGGATGAAGAAATGAATGTTCTTAAGTGTTTTGTTAAAATAATATCTTCATGAAATTAAATATATGTCCTTACTCTAAGATTTTTTTTCCTGAGCATTTGGGTTGAATCCACTTTTTTCTTTTGTGGCCTTCACTTCTAAAAGACGTTTATATTACAGCAGCAATTAATAATTTAGATTGCATTTGGGTTAATGGAATTTTATTATTTAGAAGATCACCTTTTATAGTCAGGTTACAGTCAATAAACTTGACTTTTGTTTCATACCTGCAACTGGAAAACTACCAAAAAGAGGGCAGATGAGCTATTAAAGTAATTTCCAAGGCCGAGCTGGTCTAGTCTCAAGTTAAATATTTTTATATCCCCTATACCGGATTAGCAGAATGCAATGCTTGCTGAAGCAATCATATTTTGGACTTTTGTAAAAAAAAAAAAAATCCCTGCTTCTGCTTAACCTATTCAGTACTCTCTCTTTACTACAATGAGTTGGAATTTAGAAATGTTAAAGAAGAAAAACTCTCTAATTATGTATGTATGTACATATATGTATGTATGTATGTATGTATGCAGTTTTGCTAATTAGAGCGAGCTCAAAATGCTTAAAGGCTAAATGAATGTACAGCTTAGATTTAATTTTTCAATGTGTATAAGTTGAGCAGAAGAATGCCATTTTATTATTCTATGCTCTATGTTGTATTTGAATTTTTTCTTTCTCTCAGTAAGAATAAGGGAATACGGAAAAATGTTTTTATATGTTAAAAATTTCTCTAAATGACTTAATTTATAATATATATATGTATAAGTCAATAGATAATTGATTTTTATCTTCCATAATTGTGCCTCATGTTTTTGGATATAAGCACCCTGTTCTTTCAGAATCTCAAAACTAATTAGTTTAGGCATTAAAACAAATTAATTAGGCATTTCTTTGAGCAAGGGAGCAGCCTTGTGCAGTAGTTGAAAATGTGCCTGCTTTTCTTTGTATAAAATAGCATTAACCAGATAGCAAACTTTACAACATTTAAGGAAATTTCAGTTAGTTAATCCAAGTTAGTTGATTTCATCCTCCTACATGGAAGTTTACTTCTCCGTGTTAAATTTTATATCCTAGATAGGGCCTTGCAATCTGATGGCTGTAGGTACAGGATGTAGCGATCTTATCCGATAAAGACTATTTGTTAAGACTTAGCCAGTTAATACTATAGCTTTGAATAAAGTTACACAGAAGTATGTAATTATTTTCATTGTTGAACAACAATGTAATTATTATAATTTACAAACTTGGAACAGAAATTATACGAATTATGGAACTTTACATAGAACTTATATCAGAGGAAGATTTTTTTAAAAAAAAGTCTCTGAGGCCTGGTATTATTTAATTTTGGGTCGTTGACTTGCAAGCTGTGGATTGCCAGGAATACAAACCTTCATTTTTGATGATACTACAGAGAAATAAAAAAAAGATTCTTGGGAACAGTGAATGAACCTATTTCTATGTGAGTGGCACCAAGTGTGTCCACCACAGGTACAGGGTGCAAGTGATGTCATGTGCCTCATGACATCATTTGACAAATGACACAAATGATGTAATTTATATCCCACCTGACAGGCTACAAATTTCACAATTTGTATTATTTGCCCAATGACATCATGACTCTTATGATGTCATAAGATACTTGCTTTGGGTATTTGAACATTGGTTTAAACCAGCAGTTCCCAACCTTTTCTATACCCTGCACCCCTAGAATGCTTCTGATATATTCTTGCATCTCTTATAAAAGTTCAAAATAACGGCAACGAATTATACATATATACTATAATTTTGAAAACCCAAGTTTTTGCATCCCTTGAAATATCATCTTGCACCCCTGGTTGGGAACCCCTGGTTTAAACAAACAAAAATCAAATAGATCTGGTTTTTTTTACATTTCCACCCAAAGTTGACTGATTACATGCCATCAAGTTAGTTTGAACTCTTAATGAGTGTGAAGATAGACTTTCTCCATAGACCATCCCAAAAAAGTAATTTTTATTGGGGCATCTGATGCTTTACATATAAGATCTGTTCATGACAAAATACTACGTTACTTTTACTTCATATTCCTGCTGTTGTTGAAAAAAATATACAGCCCTCTGCCCACTTATGTGGAAATTCCTATTATTTCCAATGGAAATTATTCTGAATAGCAACTTTATGACTCTGTTATAAAGCTGACAATCTTATAGACACTCTGTATCCTCAAGTAAATTCCATTGAATCAACCAAACCTTCCTTCCAAAGAGGGAAAGATAAATCTATAACTTTTGGCCATACTATTTCTGCCAAGTTGCTTTGCCACTTTTTGCTTCTTAAAAAAACACCTCCATAACATTTTAAATGGACTTCAGTGCATTTCTCACAACACCCTATGTAAAAATATAAAATGCATTTTTGTGGCACATTATTCAGTAAATTTGCATTTTTATGTCTGTTTTCTCCTAATATGTGCATCGTTGACTGAATTTTTTATTAAAGAACCGCCCTTCAGTATTCAGAGACATGAAACTCAGAAATGTAGCATTTTAAATTCTGTTAATGTGAATTTTTCACTCAGCCCTACTTTTGAGTAACTTGGACCAGGGATGCACGCTTTGGTATTTCTTCTGGAATTTGACTGCTCTGCACATCTTTTAAAATGACTATTTGATGAAAATTGAGTCAGACTTATAGGAAGCTTTTCTTATCTTTATCAAAATTGCCTGACTATTCGAAAACATAAATTATTGATGATTGCTAAAATTAGTCAGCAATTTGTATTATCTACTCTAAAACCTGCCATGCACTGATGGGGGGGGGGCGAGATAAAGTAATTTTCATCAGAAAATTTCTGCAAAATTAGTCTTCACTTTTTATGAAAAATGCCTCACTTTCATATTATCAGACATTCACAATGAACTTCTGTAGGTGTCTGAAATTGTCTGATTAGGAAGCGCACACACAACACACCAGGAGATTTGTTGGAAATAGATGAAAACTCAGATGAGTATCTAGCCAGTCACACCAACAAGATGATTAAAAGCATCTGAATTTTTGAAAGGATAAGATAAAGATGGCTCTGGAATAGTAGTTAACGAGTAGTGGGTTTCTGGTTAAGGGAGGCAAACTTTTACTTATGAAAGCACAATGATTGAAATTGTGTCAGAGTTTAAGGCTTCAATAATTTCTCCGTTTTTGTTTTTTTCCCAAGTTATGAGAAAATAATATGTACTGTAAAGTAAGTTAATGCTGTTAAGGTATTTGTGACCTCTTTCTTTCTATGTAACAAAGTTTTACGACTGTGCCTTGAAGTACTGTATAATGTTGAGTCCTTTGAGATAGTGCAGGTCAGGAAACCAAAGTTATGAATGCTCATACTACTTTTATTATAAGATTCAGCACAGATAGTCCTTGACTTATGACTGGTTCCTTAGTGACAGTTCGAAGTGAGGACTGACCTCCTGGGGGCTCTCACAACCTGCTCCTAAAGTTCCGACAGCTGCCTTCCCAACGGTCATATAACCGCCTTTC